TGCTCTGGCAGGCCCTGGCATGCAGTTACGACTGGTGCCTGTGAGATACCAGGTTCCAGATTTCAGTCCAACTTTCTATGATTCATCTTTGGGAATAAATCCATAGGAGGCTGCAAGACCAGAATGCAATAGGAGAGAAGATTCTGGCAGGGCAGTGGTGATGCACACCTTTAATCCCAGCACTGGGGAGCCAGAGGCAGGCAGATCTGAGTTCAAGGCCAGCCTGGTCTACAGAGTGAGTTTCAGGACAGCTAGGGACACACAGAGAAACCCTGTCATGAAAAACAAAACAAACAAACAAACAAAAAAAAAAAAACAAAAGTTCTGGACATTCTCTCAAATTTCCCAGAGTCAACCTTTCTAAAAACATCCCAAAGGTGAGATCATCATTAACAGAAGTGTGTTAATTAGAATTTCTTGATAGTGGCAGGTATATAGATTGAAAACATTCTTACTTTTTTATGTGTATGGGTGTTTTGCCTGCATGTATGTCCGCGTGCCACATGTGTGCCTCGGTGCCTGTGGAGGCCAGAGGTGTCGTTGGAGTCCCTGGAACAGAAGTTATAGACAGTTGTGAGCAACCAGACGGTGATGGGGACTGAACCCAGGTCTCTGGAAGAGCAGCCCCTGCGCTTAAGCACTAGTTGTCTCTCCAGCGCCCAGCATCATACTGGAGAGCAGCACACCAGAAGAGGGAAGCCGAAGGCCAGTTCCCAGTTTTACCACTGGCTAACTGTGCTGTCATCAGTTGTGTTTAATATTTTATTGGAAGTTCCTGCAGCATTTATTTACTGAGGTGCCACAGGCAGAGAACCCAGTACTTGAGTACAGAGCTGTCTTTGTATCTGGTCATAGTGTCTGTACTTAGTAGAGAGCACTGGGGGATATGGACTTGTATCTACAGAGAACATGTTATTTGGTGCTCTTCAATATCAACAATGTGTGTGGAGACGATGGTTTCCAGTTCTGTACTGGAGGCTTTGACATCCGGGGCTTTGCTACTCTGGAAGGACCACCCTTCCCGGGGCTATAGAATTCCCGTAGATGGCAAGTGACTTGCCTTTCATATGAAAGCCGGTGAGTTCAGCATTTACCCCCTTGCCCTTTAGGAACACTACATCCCTTCTCTAATCATCTGGCCAAGTGCCAGATGACCACAGTTAGCCCCTCAGACTAGACAATCCTCAACTTGGTTTCTCTACACATGTCTTCTACTCAGAAACCACAACCAAGGCTCTTGTCAGCCTCTCCTGGTCCATGCCCCTCTGCCTCCTAACTGCTCCATGTGCTTCTCTGCGTGGTTCTGCTTACGTAGTATGTCCACAAAATACTTCTTCCTTCAGAACAGAAATTTTTATCTGTCTTACCACACTCCCCTGAGTGCCTTTTGTGACAAACAATGTTTTTAATGGATGAGTGAAGCATAAGACATTTGAATAGTCCAAAATCACAACATCTGTTCTAGTTAGCTTCAGTGGCCAAATTAACACATCCTAGAGTTTCCTGGGAAGGAAAACCTCCATTGAGGAATCTCCTAGATGAGGATGACCTGTGGGAGATTGTCTTGATGAATTGATGCATGAAGGCTTAGCACACGGTGACAGCACTGCCTCTAGGCTGATGATCCCTGCCTACATCAGAAAGCTAGCTAAATACAAGCCTGTGAGTGAACCGGAAAATGACATTCCTCCATGGTTTCTGCTTCAAGGGCCTTCTTGAGTTCCTGTCCTGACTTCCCTCAGTGAGAGAGTGTGAACCAGAAGTACAAGTCAATAAATTCTTTCCTCCCTTAAGTTGCTTTGGTCATAGTGTTTATCAAAACAACAAACGGAATCAGAACACCATCCATTAAAATAATTACTCCTACCTGTTGTGTGATATTTTGTTTGTGTTCTGACAAATAAAGTTTGCCTGGAGACCAGAGGGTGGAGCTTCCACTAGTTAACCATAGAGGTCTAGAGGTCCGTACAGACAGGAGACAGGAAGTGAGAAGGTTGGGCCGAGACAGGAAGTGATATGGAGCCAGCAGAGGCAGGATATTGGACCTTTTGGTTGGGAAGAACTCAGAGAGGTAAGAAGTCCAGTGACTGCTGCTCTGCTTCTCTGGTCTTTCATCTTTTACCCTCATATCTGACTTTGGGTTTTTTTTTTTTTGATTATTGGGGCAAGTAGTGGCTTGTTATGTCATCACAGAGATAATTAGATCAGTTACAGAATGTTTTGGTTTCACTTCTATTGCAGTGACAAAAAGAATATGGGGGAGAAAAGTTTATTTCCATGTAAAATATATTTTACCATTGTGGGGATGTCAAGGCAGGAACTTCAAACACATCACATTCACACCAGTGAGAAATGAACACATACATGCTCTGTTGCTCCTTCATGCTTAACTCAGACAGAGAGAAGGAGCTAACTGGGAATGGGGTGGACTTTTGACAGCTCAAAGCCTGCCTCCAGTAACACGCCTCCACCAACAAGGCCTTGCTGCTTAATCCTTCCCAAACAGGTCCTTCCATCAACAGGGCACCAAGCATTCAAATATATGAGCCTATGTAGGTCATTCTCATCCAAGCCACCACACAGAGGTTGGTAATAAATTGCTATTGAGGTGATTAAATATAACTCAAGTTGTTGTTTGGCAGAGGCAGCGGTAAGGAATGAGTCATGAAATACAACAAACCCACGTGGGACTTTATTAGGAAAGGGTAGCGAGAGCTTATGATTATCTACTGAGAAAGGAAGTGAAGAAGAGAGAGACTGGCAGGCAGAGCTTGCTTAGAAGGGAAAATTTGCACCTGCATACAGAGATCCTTAACCAGTATGCAACACTCGGCAGCCATAGGGCCCCTGGAATGGCTAAGCATCTGCCTGAATGCTGACTGGCACATCCTGCCGGCTGACAGGGGGCAAGTCAGCATAATGCCTGGATGCTAACATTTTTATCTTTATTATTAAAAAAGGTGAGGGATTAAAGGGGATACCAGATGGGGCAGGGATGGGGCACTGAGTTCTCAAGACTACTTCCAGTGGACTTAGGGGGTGTCGACCATCTTTGGGGGTCCTGAGAAAGCTAGGGTCCTGGTAGCTGGTTGTTCCATGGCTGTCCAGGCGATGTGGGAACTGTCTGGTGTTTCTCGGACCTGCTCAGCTGCTGTCAGAGCAGAAGATAAGGTTAAAATTAGAAAAAAAAACCTTTAGTCTTGGTAATTGAGGGAGGTGGGTGTCAAAACCAGGAAAAGGTGGGAGGCTTTGGCTGTTGATTGAAAGTACTTATCCAAGTCAACTTCCTGGAACTTACAAGAATTTTTTGAGTTTATAAAAAGATAAGTTTTAGACATATTAGCATTCCCACTGTTTATAATTTGTATTGAAGTCCATATTGCAGAAAAGATGGTATACTCACACTCACATAGTGGTAGTATTCTGCCAGGCTAATAGCTTATCAGGATTTTATTAATTAATGTTAAGACTATGAACTTTGGAGCCTTAATATAACAGTAACATAATGAGAGGGAAAGAGAGAAACCTGACACCTTAAATATCAATTTTTCTTATTACCAATTAGCTTTTTAGTTTCACGTAGGCAAACTTTAAAGCACCTGTTCCCCATCATCATGGCGGCACCCTAACACTCAGGAGGCACAGGGGGTTGGCTTCTGAGAGCTGTTACTAGTAAAGCATTGTTTTGAAATCTGTTCTGTGAGTCTTCTTTTTCGAGTCTGGGGGGTGTGGATGTCTTTGGGGTGTTACTGTTTCTTACCACCTGGGTTTGTCTGATAGTCTTGTGCCCCTGGCTCTGTGGCTAATGGCAATCCCTGCAGCAATAGCAGTTTGAAAATAGAAGTTTGAAAATATCATTGGACACACAGAGGGGAAATTGACGAAGCAGGGTGATGCGGGATAATGCTCTTGTTCACTGTAAAGATTTGTCACACTTGTGGTTTAATGAAATCCTGATTGACCAGTAGCAGCCAGGCAGGGAGTATATGCAGGGCTACCAGACTATGAGAATTCTGGGAAGAGGAAAGGCAGAGATGCAGTCTGGTAGCCAGATGCAGAGGAAGCAAGATGAAAGTGCCTTTCTGAGAAAAGGTACCAAGTCACATGGCTAGACATAGATAAGAATTATGGGTTAATTTAAGTTGTAAGAGTTTGTTAGTAATAAACCTGAGCAATAGGCCAAACAGTTTATAATTGATATAAGCCCCTGTGTGTTTATCTGGGACTCGATGGTTGCAGGACCAGGCGGGACAGAAACTTTCTTCTACAGCGGGGTGTGTTCAGTAGAGACAGGAGAATGCAGGGGAGGAGGGGAGGGGGTCAGGAAGAAAACATATGGAGTGTCCAGTCCGGCAGAGTATGGGTGTGGGGTGAAACCCCATTCTTCTGAAACTAGGGACAAGGCAGTTGACCTTGGTGTCCTCTGAAACTTAAGGGGGAAGGGTCCTGTTCAAGTTGCTATGTATGGACAAGGATGAGCTCGAGGTCAAGGGGTAAAGGGTTTGAGATAACACAAGTGGATCCAATGAGGAAGGCCCTCAAGCTTAGCAGCTGCTGGAGTTACAAGAATTACTTTGAAGGAGCTCTGCCATTTATGGGAAAGGTCTGAGGGGTGTTGGTCTGGAGGAGAGAGAAGCACCTGATCCCCGATGTTGACTGGAGATGGACAGGGATTGGTATCGGAGAATATTAGTCTACACAGGGTAGCTTGTCATATAATATTTATTGAGGGAGAAGTCACTTACATGAGAAGCCGAGAATCAAAGATCTGCTCGCTGCTCTCTGAGACCAACCGGAACCCCAAGAGAGAGCGTGCGTCTCCCCCGCACAGCCTTTTACTTCCCATGTACATTGGCACCTGTAGCCACGCCCGAAGTGGGCGTGGTCAGCGGCACAGGTATCTAAGATCTCTCCCTACAGGTTGGTACATGCTCTGGGTAGGGAGTAATCAGTAAAGTTCCACAGAAGGGAATGGAGATGATACAATAACGGGGTGAGTAGGCGATCAGGGAGAGGAGAGGGCTTAAGTGAGAGATCGGGGGTTAGAACCAGCTGCCCATACATGAGTTCAAAGGGGCTGGAGATGGAAAGGGACTATCTGGGGAGAGCCCAGAGCCTGAGAAGAGCCAGAGCCTAGAGCTTTACCCAGTCAAGGTGAAGTTCCTGTTGACAGTTTGACATGGATGTTTTTAAAGACGCAGTTAGTTCATTCTATCTTTCCTGAGGACTGGAGGTAGTATGGGACATGGAAATGCTGAGGGATGTTAAGAGCTTTAGACAGGGTTTGGGTGATCTGAGAGGTGAACTCAGGACCACTCTGACTGAAGAGAGGCTGCACCAATGTCATCAGCAGCATGAGGAGGACCTTGGCGGATCTCATGGCCGGTGAGAGACAAATACGCCATGCAGCCAGAACTTACATGGTAAGTTTTATCGAGGGAAGGGAGAGGAGAGGAGAGGAGAGGAGAGGGGAGGGGAGGGGAGGGGAGGGGAGGGGAGGGGAGGGGAGGGAGAGAGAGAGAGAGCGAGAGAGAGCAAGAGAGAGCAAGAGAGAGCAAGAGAGCAGGAGTGGGTCCCTCTTAAAGGGACCTTTTGCCCCTGTGCAAAGCCAGGGTACTACCTGCCATCCACAGAGGGGGTGATGCACTCTGCCAGGACCCCGAGGGGTGGGACCAAGGTGTGTGTGGATGCCAACACCAGACATTTTGCCTCCCAGTCTGCAGCATTCCATCATTCCACAACCATGAAGTTGAAGTCAGCCAGTCACTATGCAGAATCTTCCAACAGACGTGACTTTGCAGGTGGCCTCAGTCCACAGTCGTTTCTTTACGAGAAAGTACCCCCTGATGTGGATACTGTGTGATGTGGAGCGCACACGGCTGTGGAGTGGAAATCCACCTTATGATAACAGAAATGAGGAAGCCAGCAAAGTCTTCCCTAACCTGAAAAGTGCCTACTTTATTTCCAGTTTCGACTTGACGCCTTTCCCTTGCAGTCCTCTGTTTACCTACTATCGTGTTGCTTCTGCGCCCTGCCTTCTAGCTTCCCAAGTTAGCACTTCTCTACCTTCTGCTTTCTCCTCTCCGAACAGGTGCACGTCACTGGCGTGCCCAGATCCCTCCCACAGTTGATATAATCGTGCCACACTCCTAGCCCACATTGGTGGCATCCCATCTTGCCTGACTCCTGGAAAAACACAAGAACTATGAATACAGACATGAATAGGAATATTCTTTTAATGGGCACTTAAACATTGTTTATTCTTAGGTGGGCATGGCACCTGATGCCTATGTCCTTAGCACTTGGGAGGCTGAGGCAGGATTGTAAAGAAGGAAATGACTCAACAAATCAAAGTGTTGATCATTGATACTACTCTGGAGAGACCTAGAAACAGTGCCCTATTTAAGATAAAGACTTATTATTTCCTTCTTCTAAAAATTATTTTTATTTTGCTTTCTTGTTTAATCCAGGACCATCTGCTTAGGGATAACACCACCCTCAGGGGGATGAGTCCTCCTACATCAACTATTATTCAAGAAAGTGCCCCATAGATTTGCCTACAAGTCAATCTGATAGAAGCAATTTCTTAGATTACTCTAGCTTGTGTCAAATTGACAAACTAACCAAAACAATATCACTTACATAATTTCACATTATCAGTGTTTGTTAACTAATATTATGTGTTTTAGTCACCATTTATAGCTTATAGACAACTTCTTTTTTTGTTTATTTTTACTTTTATTATTATTATTAGAGACATGGTCTCACTGAGTAGCCCTGACTGTCCTGAAACTTTGTATGTAGATCAGGCTGGCCTTGAACTCATAGAGATCCTTCTGCTTCTCTTTTTCAAGTTAAATTGACATTTGACAAATGTTAATTAAAAAGTAACTACATAATTCATGTTCATTAAGAATTTTAAAGATAAATTGCTTGAATGGGTTGGAATACACCTATAAAATAGTGTTTTCCTTTTCAAGCACTTAATGCTTTAGGGCCTCATTTGCTTTCACTGAGATGTCTAAAATTCCCTGAATCTACAAGTTAAAGGAATGCATCACCACAAACACAACTTGTAAATATCCTTGTTTATGTCTCCCAACTAGTTGTACAAGCTAAATTATTCTAATCTTTATGATTGGAGTTCCTGGGCAAAGTTTCTTGCCAGTCTTAATGGCATCAAGCAAAGTAGAAAAAGTAAAACATTTCCCAAAACCATAGGATTCTTCACATTCTCCCACAGTCTTCTAACCAACCATTGAGAGGCTTTGGACTGTTGCTACTTTTATGTGCCAATATTCCATAGAGTTATTATGTAAATTATGATTATAAATACAATTGGCATCTGACTAATGTTAGTAAAAAGTAGCTATGTAATTTTTGTTCATTAAGAATTTTAAGATAAAATTGCTGGAATAGATTGGAATGTACCTCTAAAATAATGTTTTCCTTTTTAAACCCTTAATGTTTTGGGGCCTCAGTTACTTCCTCTAAGAAGTCTAATATTCCATCCATTTATTTTTTTCATGGGAGGGGTTGTTATAAAACTACCTTGAACTAATGATGGTTATGAAAATTCCTTGAAGACTTGTTTATAAGATTATGTTTCCTATAAAGATGTCCATGATATGGAACATGCTGATAATGTCATAAATCAAGTAGTATATAATCAGTAAGGGGCAATCTGTGTCTTTTTTTCTGGTGTCTGTAGTCAAACATGCTGTAGGAGAGAAAAGAGTTAACAGGTCTGTCTTCTAAAAAAATTTGTGCATGTATGTAATATGCATGAATGTGTGTGTATTTTGCCTGTGTGTGTCTGTGCACCACCTGCATGTCTGGTGCTGGTGGAGGCCAGAAGAGGGCATTGGGTCCTCTGGAGCTGGAGTTACAGACAGTTGTGAGTCACCATGTGGGTGCTGGGAACCCCCTCCTCTGGAAGAGACGGTCTTTTAACCAATGAGTCATCTCTCTAGCCCAAACATGTCTGTCTTAGAAGAAAACTCTATCTTCACAGTTACAAGGAAATGGAAATCAAGTAATGGAGCAAAAGCCTAAATACACTTTAGGAGGGAAAATTGGAGAAGACACACCTCGGTCTACAAATGAGCAAGTCAGTTAGTTGGTCAGGAGGGCAGAAAACCCACATCTTGTAGTGATATATTATTTATGATTTACTAAAGCTTGCCTGAGGATTCATAAAGCAAAGTCAGCCAAAGCCTTAGAAGCCAGGCACACACCTTTAATCCCAGCAGCCAGAAGCTAAGAGATGGTAGTACACACCTTTAATCCTAGGACTCAGGATTAAGAGGTAGATGGATCTCTTTGAGTTCAAGGCCACCCAGATCTACACAAGAGTGAATCAGTTTAAAAGAGAATTACAGCTCACCATACCAACATTAGGGAAGTATATAAGACAGAAGCAAGGTCTCAGAGAGGCATTCATTCTCCAGCCACACTAAGGAGAGGCAACAGTTTGAGGCTGGATGAAGAGCTCCTGTGTGGATCAGCCCTTTTAGCCTGAGGTAGAGGTAAGAAGCTACTGGCCAGCTCCTTTGCTTCCTTGCTATTCAGTGTGAGTTTTGAGTCTCAATATCAATCTCTGGGTCATTTATTTTTCGTGTTACACGTCTTGCTCCTTTCATTCTTTCTGTAGAAAGTCCTGGGAATTGTGACAAAAAACAGTGTCTTTGATCTTGAAAGAGAAAAGCAATTTTGGAACACTGATGAATCTGCAAAGAGGAAGAAAAATTCCCGACCTTCCCAGAACGACAGGTTCCACATTAGTCTGTGAATCAGCAAGGCTCGAATTTCATGCCCTGCCCTTTCAAACTGCCTAGGGTTTAAAATTAGCATCATATATCAGAGCAACATCTCCCGCCTAGACATGGCTCTCCTTTCTGTGTTTAGTGGCTGTATTTTTAGTCACAAACCACTAACGTTATCTGGATGGCAGGCCTTCTGGTTTCAACACTTGGAGCTCAGTCTGAATGTCAAGCACATTTGCACAGCTATTAGGGACCTGTGATTTCCGGTCATGTGCTGAAAAGGCTGCGATGATGTCACCACAGTTTGCTTTGATTTTAAGATGATGGAGAGTGTCACTTTTGGTCGTCACAGTGAGCCACAGTTTCACTGGAAAGTTTATTCCTTAGTGTACAAACACGTCATTGCTTTCCCTTTTCTCCCTGTCTTACTCTGTCTCGGGCTGCCGTAATAGAAAAGCATTTCTTAGGCATTTTATAAACAATAGGTGTTTGCTGCTTGTTAGACTCATGGTTCTAGAAGCTGAAGTGGTAAGAATAAAGGGCGGCATCTGATAGGGGCCTTCTTGCTGTGTTTTCCACGGTAGAAGACCGAGGGTTCCTTGTGGCAGAGACCATGGCTGCTGTAGTCCCCAGCACTGTCGGGAGTACATACTAGGTTCAGCTTCGGCTGAAATACACTCTTGGCACAAAGTAGGTGATTTTTAAGTATTTGTACATCAACAAAAACGAGAAAGATTCAACAACACTTTGAAAGGCTAAAGAACCTTCTAGAAAGCAGGTTGGGCAGATGAGATTTAAACAAAGATACTTGCTCATTTACCCAAGTGGGATCCATCAGAAGGAAATTCTGCAAGAAGCATTCACTAGAAAACTTAACTGTTGGGTTGAGAATGTAAAAATGGTGGCGTTCTTGCAGAGATCCAATTAACATGATGGTACTTAAACTGATAACAATTAACGTAAAGGAGTAGCAGCCTATGATGTGCTGGTTGGTGCTCTTTGGTTTCTAACTTCCCAAAATTAGCTTATTCAAAAATTCCCTGTCTTTTGTACCAGTTGGAGTGTTGGGGGAATGATGACTGGAAGTATTTTCCTTTGGAAAGCATTCTCACGGCCTAATGCACGCTATTTACTGGGAGGGCACTGCTCAGCAATGACCACCAGAAGCTACTCAGGCATTTGCTGTGGGAATAGGACTAGCAGGTCATGAAAATTGCATCTAATTGTTTCCCAATATATCTGTTCTCTATGTTGCAGTCATTATGGAGGAAAATATTGGAAGAGGAAGAAAAATAAAATGAGAATGGGAAGGAAAAGGAGCAACACCAGGTTGAACTCAGTGCACTTATCCATTATCTTCTTGGAGAGATGTTTCTACCACAAACACATAAAAGTGCTACAGTAAGCAAACAACAGGAGAAAGGGTGTCCTTAATTTGAAGCTGCTTGTCTGCCAAGGCTTGAGACATTTGCAGGAGGAGCATTCTTCTGTTGTGAGGTACCCATCAGGGAAGACCTCTCAGACAGGGGTTCAAGCCAATAGCAAGCAGGTCAGCAGCTGCACAGTGTTCACGACTCCAGTGCAGTCCTGAGCCCTTCTTTCTTTCCTTTTCCTCACCACGCCCCAGACCAGGCTGGCCTTGAACTCAGAGATCCGCCTGCCTCTGCCTCTGAGCGCTGGGATCAAAGGCATGTTCCATCACCACCCAGTACTGAGCCTTTCTTTAAGGTGGGCTTTTAAGCACAAATATCACATCCTGGATTGACACACCTCAGTTGGCAAGAACAGTAAAAAGCAAGGTTAGTACATTTAGGGACTCTCCCAGAACTATGGACTTTGATGAAATAGGTCTTTTGTTCTCATTTTGGTAGTTGGGTCTGCCTATGTGCTGGGCTCCAAGGCCTGAACGGTGTGTCAGTCATGGTGTCGGTTGGACTAAGGTCTGGTGGCTGTTAGGATTCCTAGGATCATGTTGTGGAAATTTCTTTGATCCTCCTTCAATTTCCAGACACTGGTGTGTCAAGTTCCAGCTTCATGCATCTCATAGATGCTCTCTGTTGCCATCTTCATCACAATGGCATACCCATAACTGTTTACTCATCAGTGTCACTCACAGGAGGACAGTCTAATTTGTTCATTATGGAATCCTGGAATACCCCATGCTCGGGGTTTGAATAGAGTGTTTTCCCAATTCATATTTGCTGGATACGTGAACTAGACTGTTGTTTTTCTGCTCTGTAGGAATCACTGTCTCTGGAAGCATTGTACACTCATTGGCAACTTGACTCAAAACAAAACACCAAACAAAGAGAAAGGAATTTGGTGATCAGTCACGGCTCCTTAGTCAGAGGGAACCAGAAGATGGCTCTCGTCACAGTTTGAAAGCAGTTCTTCCAGATTAGGAGACTTGAGGGCTGTCCCCAGTTCCACACAGGCAGCATCTGGAATTGCCTTCAGGCTCTGCTCATCTTTGTTTCAGTGACTAGACTTTGCTTAACCTGTGCTTAAACCACATTGCTTAAACGGTGAAGTGACTCAGTGGAGATATGTCTTATGGCAAGAAATGGTACCATCTCCTCCATCAGGCAAGCAGGCTTAGTAAGTCTGGCTTGTTTATGGGGCTGACTTGTGTTGATTAGATAGTGAGGTCTCATTGTTCAGACTGTATTAGCAAAGTTTTCCCTTCTCTTTTGGAACAGCATTGGTAGTGTCTGTTAAACTGGCCACTGTACCTAATTTGTTAGAAGATGCTGCTGCTTCATCTATGACCCCCATCTTGCTGGCTGAGTGCTACAGCTTGGTTGGCTCAGTGACACAGCTAGCCCTGTTGGCAAAGCCCAAGTGGCACCTACTGCTAGAGCTAGGTGCTTCAGCCATTTCTCAGCCACCCAGGAGCCCATACCCTGAATCCTACAGCTCAGTTATCTGAGTTGGCTTTGAAGTGGATTCTTCCCCATTTGGGCTCCCAGCAGAGAGCACAGCCTGCCCAGCACCTGGGCTACAGGTTTGTGTGGCTCAAAACAAAACCCAGCTGTGCCTAAATGGGCCTAGAGACACTGAGAGGTTAAACGAGTTGTGTTGTTTTATTCCAGTAACTTTGTGGTAGTTTGTTGTGCAGCAATAGACAATTCATTATCTAGATCCCCAAATGATATTTAGTATCTTTTAATTTTATGTTTTCAGGGAAGAACAAATCTATATAATAGAATATAAAATGTTAGCAAAATGCACTGTAATAGAACACCTCTGTGGGCCATCTGGATTCATTTCTTTTCACAATCAGCTGGAGGGGTCTGATCAGCAAGGAGAGTACCTAGTGTTTATGATATGCTTTCCTGCGATGACATCCAAGAACATACATTCCACCAATACACTCTTCACACCTGTAATATAGCTCTGATTCTGTTTCCCAGAAAAGTGTATTGCTTTATATTTCTCTCTTGCTATAATTCTTCCAATGAACATCTTTTCTAAAGACTTGTTGGGGCCTAGAGAGATGGGTCAGTAGTTAAGACAACTTGATGTGACATCATGAGGACTGGAGTTTGGAGTCCAGTACCTACATAACAATGCAGGCCATTCAGATGTGTACCTACAAGTACTCATAGGCTAACTCTCTCTCTCTCTCTCTCTCTCTCTCTCTCTCTCTCTCTCTCTCTCTCACACACACACACACACACACACACACGTAAAAAACAAGTCTTTAAAAGAAGATCAGTGGGGTTTCTCAATATTCCCAGTGAGACTATTCATTCATGACATTGCAGTATCTTAAAAATGTATTTCTTTTTGATACAGAGTCCCACTGCACAGCCCAAGTCAGTCTTTAACTTATGGTTCTCTACTCTTCGTCTCCTGAATGCTAGCCTGACAAGAGTGTGCCACCGTGCTTGATTTGAAATTATCCTAAATAGTTCCACATCCTTGTGATAGGTGTCACAAGTGATCTAGGTGGACTCCTGCCTTTATTTTCTCTTTATTTTTCTTAAGCTTCCCCAGCCTCTGTGGCTGTAGATCACCTGGAGTATAGCGTCATGTCAATCGTGATGGATGGAACAACTGTCCTCCTCCTCCTTAGAATACTGTGAGCAGTGACACTCTGTAATCCACGCAGAGCTTAACATGTCTGCGCTAATTGAGGTACCATCTTCTGAGATATTTACAGATGTTAATTAGCCTCAACAGCTAAACTGGCCTTGCCCCCAAATTGAGGACTATACTTAAACAATCAGTATGGCCTCACTCTTTGAATAAGTAAGTGCCATCCTGTAGGCCTTATGCTGGAAGAGATGCCCCACTCTTTTAGGGCTCTGCCTCTGAGCAGCACACGTGGAGTTGCCTGTCCCTCACTCACATTGCAAGTTTCCATAGTTATTACTCTAGCACAAAAAATGCACACTGTAACCTCACCATATGCTACTTGCTAATGAGGAGAATTAAAACTACTGCCCAGAGGACTCACCATGGCAACCACCAGAAGAACCTCATCGGAGAGCTGGAAACTATAAAGCGATCAAAAATTCAGCATTTGTTTCTTCTGAAGTACAATCTTGGAATACAATTCCTGGCCCCATCTCTGTCTAGAGTGACTTCCAGCCTACAGTGTCATTTTTGTTGTAGAGGGAAATAAAAAGCCATCAGTGTCTCCTTAGAGAGTTATATGGAATGTATTTTAAAAACCAACCGATTTAGTATTGCACTCTGGGGGCTGCAGAGATGGCTCAGCAGTTAAGAGTGCCAGCTGTTCCTCCAGGGAACCCACATTCAGGTCCAAGCACCAACATGGTAGTTAACAGCCACCTGTAACGCCAGTTCCAGAAAATCCAATACCTTCTTCTGGTGTCTGTGGGAACCAGGCACACACACGGTACATGGACATACATACAGGCAAAATACCCATGTGCATAAATAAAAATCAACACATCTTTAATATTGCATTCTGTTTGGAATCATCAACAAGTGGATATGCCCACTTTCTACCAAACACTCAGAGTTCTAAATTTTCTCTCTCCATCACAGAGCGTGAAACAAAGCTCTAGTTCGATCCCCAGTACAAGATTAATTTATTTTTATTTTATGTCTATGAGTTTTGCCTGCATGCATGTATAAGTATTTCGTGCATGCCTGGTGCCTTAGTAGGTCAGAAGAGGGTGACTGAATGGACCCTTTGGATCTGGAATTCCAGACTCAGACTGTTGTGAGTTGCCATGCCGGTTCTGGGAACCAAATCTGGGTCCTCTGAAAGAGTCATCTCTCTAGGCCCCCAGAGCATAAATGTAAAGGAATTGTGTGTTAGTTACTGTACCCATTATTGTGGCCGAATACTTGACAATAAGTAACATAAGGGAGAAAGGTGTGTGTGTGTGTGTGTGTGTGTGTGTGTGTGTGTGTGTGTGTGTGTGTCAGGGATGGGGGCGCTGCAGTCAGATGCTTGCTTGCTTATATCTGGTGGGTCAGGAAGCTGGTAATGGAGAAAGCTAGCATTTAGTTAGCTTTCTCTTTTTTTCCGTTTTTTGTTCAGTCCAGGACCTCAGGCTAAGGGATGGTGTTGTCCAGATCTGCCCTCTGTGCTAATTCTCTCTGGAATGCCCTCCCAACACACTCAAGTGTGTACCTCATTAAAGTCCTAAATGGTTTTTTTTCTGTTTTATACTTATTTTTATTACTTTTAAAACAATCTTATTTTACATACCAATCCCAGTTCCCTCCCACTTCCCTGAACCCTCTCCCTACCCCACCTCCCATCTACTCCTCAGAGAGGGTGAGGCCACCTGTAGGGAATCATCAAGGTCTGTAGCATCATTTGGGGCAGGACCACGGCCCTCCCCACTGCATCCAGACTGAGCAAGGAATCCCTCCACAGGGAATGGGCCCGTAAAAGTCAGATCATGCACTAGGGATAAATACTGGTTCCACTGTCAGTGGTCCCATAAACTGTTCAAGCCCCCCAACTGTCATCCACATTCAGGGGTCCCAGTTTGGTCCCATGCAGGTTCCCCAGCTGTCAGCCTGGAGTCCATGAGCTTGCTCTGGTCAGCTGTCTCTGTGGGTCTCCCCAACATGGTCCTGACTCCTTTGCTCATATTATCACTCCAACCTCTCTGCAACTGGACTCCAGGAGCTCTGCCCAGTGCTTGGCTCTGGATTTCTGCATTTGCTTCCATCAGTTACTGGAGGAAGGTTTCTATGACGACAATTAAGGCAGTCATCCATCTGATTACAGGGGAAGGACAGTTAAGGTATCCTCTCCACTATTGCTTAGATCCTGGGAATTTCCCAACTGCCAGGTTTCTTGTTATCCCCACAATGACTCCCTCTATCAAGGCTATATCTTTCCTTATTCTTCCTCTCTGTCCTTCCCCCAACTCAATCTTCTTGACCTTTAATGCCCCCCCTTTCGCTATTCCCCACACCTCCAACACCTTCCCCCCCCCCACTCCCAGTTTACTCAGGAGATCTTGTTTCTTTTTTTTAATATGAATTGATGGTTTTATTTTTTTATCATTTTTTATTTTAATTTTAAATAGCTTGTTTTACATGTCAATCCCAGTTCCCTCTCCCTCCCCTCCTCCCGCACTCCCCTTCCCCCCTCCCTCTCACCCTATTGCCAAATCCTTCCACATAGGGGATATCTAGAGTCTGTCATTTTACTCTTGGTAGGGTCCAGGCACTCCCCTAAGAGTCCAGGCTGAGAGAGCATCTCTCTTTGTGCTATAGGCACACGAAGACAGTTTGTATACCAGGGATAGACACTGATCCACAGCTCAGGGCCCCATAGGTTGCCCAGGCCTTCTCACTGACACTCACATTTGGGGGGTCCTGATCAGTCCCATGCTGGCTTCCCCACTGTCGGTCTGGGGTCTCTCCTGTTCAGATCAGCTGTCTCTGCTGGTTTTGCCAGCCCATTCTTTGCCAATTTGCTCATCACTCCTCTCTCTCTGTCACTGGGTTCCTTGGGTTCAGTTCAGTGATTAATTGTGTGTTTGCCTCTGCTTCCATCAGTCACAGGATGAAGGCTCCCGTATGGTTATAGACATCAAGTTCATTATCAGGAATGGGCATTCGAGGTGGTCCCTCCCCTATTGCTTAGCTTGTCAATTGGTGTTATCCCTTTAGATCACTCGAGGTCACTCTGGTGCCTGATCTGTATTAGATCCTATGATTCCCTCTTCCCCCTATTCTACCCCACCCCCTCAACTTCCTGTTCCCCCATGACCAACTCCCTTCCTCTTCCTCTTCACCCCCTCTCTTCTTCCCGAGTCCCACGAGATCTTGTTTCTTAATTCAACCAAGCAACAATCAGATTTAACCCCCACAAGCTGCTAACCAGGTTGTTTAACTTTTTTTTCAAGATTGTTAGTTTTATTTCTCCTTCTGTTTACTTATTTTTGGATAGACATTTCCTGGCTGACAGTGATTCAACTTACAATTTTTTTTTAGTTTTACTGTGGCATGAAAACAGTGTGCACTCAGTAGAAACTGTACATCAAAATCTGAATTTGGGGACCAGTGAGATGTCTCAGTGGGCAAAAGGGCCTTGTCACCAAGCTTTGTGACTACCTGAGTTCCACCATCAGGATCCACGTGGTGGAAGAAGAGAATAGACTTTCACAAGTTTCCCTTAGTCTCCCCATTTCCTGGTGCCACACACAAGTGTACTTCCCACACGCATACAAATAAGTAAATAGATGTGAAGCATATTTTTAAAAATCTTTTTCCTGATATGCCATAAAGCCTTTCCTTATAAGACATGGACAGTGAGCAGTGGTCACGAGTCAGAGCTCCAAGCCAGCACCCAGTTACAAAGGGAAATGACCCATGTCACAGTGTACCTCTTTCGATGTTATTAAAGTTGGCTAGGTGCATAAACCACCAGGACTTGTGGTATTTTCCACGTAGAGTGGTTTTTATCAGGACATCACTCTCTCATCTCAAGACCATCTGTGTATTACACACATGCAAATTTAGGGCTACAATTTGTTTCTGCTGAGCTGAGTTCTTTTGTTTGTTTGTTTTTTCGAGACAGGGTTTCTCTGTATTGTTTTGGAGACTGTCCTGGAACTTGCTTTGTAGACCAGGCTGGCCTTGAACTCACAGAGGTCTGTTTGCCTCTGCCTTCCAAGTGCTGGGATTAAAGGCATATGCCACCAAAGCCCAGCTAAGCTGAGTTCTTATATCTAGAAATATCTTTTAAAAAACACACCTGTGCTAGCTGAGGTCACCAAGCTTTGCTGAGGAGTCTCCTTGGGCTTTTATTCAGAGTGCATCAGATGGTGACAAATATTCTTAACACATACTTGTTAATGATGTTGTTTCTTCTTCATTTTGGAAATATCTCCCCTGGATACGTTATTTTCCTTCAGAAAGGATTTATGTTAGGTTCTTGGCAATGATGAAGGCTGGGGCAATAATGATACCCATTAACTCTGAATGATTATTGAGACTACTCAGAGCTGAGCTGGCTGGTTTTGATTCAACTCCACCCCGGGTATGTTGCCTTAGTGCTCCTAACTAAGGATGGAGGGATTTACTGGGGTCCCCTCATTGCTGAGACTTGTTTTCTCTGTTACCCAATTAGTTACCAGGAGCTCTGCCCAACTCCAATGCCTTTTTAAAAAATTTTAATTAATTAATTTTACATCCTGACCAGTTTCCTCTCCTTCCAACCTCACCCCCATCCACTCCTCTGTTTCTTCTCAGGGGAAGGCCTCCCATGGGTATCAACAAAGCATGGCATATCAAGTTGCAATAAGTCTAAGCGCCTCTGCTTGTATTAAGACTGAGCAAGGTGATCCAGTTTGAGGAATAGGTTCCAAAGAGCCAACCAAAGCTTTAGGGACAGCCCCTGCTCCCATTGTTAGGGGTCCCACAAGTAGATTAATCTACACAGCTGTCACATATATGTAGAGGGCTTAGGTTGGTTCCATGTGGGCTCCCTGATTGTTGGTTCAGACTTTGTGAGTTCCTATAAGCCAGGTTAGTTGTTTCTGTCAGTTTTGAGTGTGTGTGTATGTGTTTTACTTGACCCCTCTGGCTCCTACAATCTTTCTTCCCTCTCTTCAGCAGGATTCCCCGAGCTCATCCACCATGATCAAGTGGGCTTCATCCCTGAGAGATGCCAGAGGTGGTTCAATATGCAAAAATCTACTAATGTAATCCACCTTTTAATCAAACTGAAAGAGAAAAAAAACATGATCATCTCATCTCATTAGATGCTGAAAAAATTCACAGAAACAATACCCTTCACAATAGCCACAAACAATATAGAATATCTTGGGGATAACTTTAAACAAGTCAGTGAAAGACCTATACGACAAGAACTTCAAATCTTTCAAGAAAGAAACTGTAGATGATATCAGAAGATGGAAAGATCTCCCATGTCCATGGGTCAGTAGGATTAGCATAGTTAAACTGGCTATCTTACCAAAAGCAATCTACAGATTCAGTGAAACCCCCATCAAAATACCAGCACAATTCTTTACAGACTTTGAAAGAACAATACTCAATCCCAAATGGGAAAAACAAGAAAGCCAGGATAGCTAAAACAATCCTGTACAATGAGAGAACTGCTCGAAGTATCACCATCCCTAATCTCAAGTTTTACTACAGAGTTATAGTAGTGAAAACAGCACTGTGTTGGCATAAAACAAATAGGTGGATCAATGGAATTGAATTGAAGACCCAGACATAAATCCACACACCAATGGATACCAGATTTTTAACAGAATTATTACACACATTTATACAAAATTATACAATGGAAAAATGAAAGTATCTTCAACAAATGGTGCTGGTCTAACTGGATGCTGGCATGTAGAAGACTGCAAATAGATCCATATTAATACCCACAAAATTCAAGTCCAAGTGGATCAAAGACCTCAACATAAAACCAGATACACTGAACCTGACAGAAGAGAAAATGAGAAATAGCCTTGAATGCATTGGCACAGAGACAACTTCCTGTAACAGAACACCAGAAGTACAAGACACTAAGATAAATAATTAATAAATGGAACCTCATGAAACTGAAAAGCTTCTGTAAGGCAAAGGACCCCATCAGTAGGACAAAACAGCAGCCTACAGAATGGGAAAGATCTTCACCAACTCCCCTGCCTTTAACTGCCTGTTTTTGAAATTGGTAAATACTTCCAAGGGAAAACATCCAAAAATACTGGGCTAATCTTTTTGACTTTTTTTCCTGGATTTTGGCTCTATAATCCTCCACTATTTTGAATATACTTAGATTTTCTTAAAAACTATATCCAGCTATGCTATGGTTTGCATGTGCCATGTCCCCTACAGACTTAATGTGTTAAACAATTTCCAAAGCAGTAGGCTTTGGAGGGGAGGGTCTTATTGAAAGATCTGTCCTCATGAGTGGATTAATGCCACCACTATTGCATGAGTAGGTTTATTAGGTTGGGGAGATGGCTTAGCAGGTAAGCACTTGCGAAGCAAACCTGAAAGCCTGATTCTCTGGAACCAAGGTAAAAAAAGCTGATGCGGTAGCACATATCTTCCATCCCAGCACTCCTACAGGGATGGGGCAGAGACAGGAGAGTCAGTAGGAAACCTGGATGCCAGCTACAGCTACTGAGGCACAGTGAATGCACAGGGTCCCAAACAAGAAAGACCTTGCCTCAACTCCTGAAAGTTGGCCTTGACTTCCAAAACCGTGTCTTGGCAGGCATGTGCCCGAACACACACATGCACATGCAGGAATGGAAATAATTTTTAAAAGTAAAATAAAAGTGTAAGGCTAAGATAGATCATACATTAATTGCAAGAAATTTTATAAAGCACACCCTGCACTGCTAGCTGGGTTCCCCAAGCACTGTAGAAATAGCAGATGCCTAACGATTAGTGACCTGTCACATCACCTTTTCAGAGTCTGTGAGTCTGTGCTGAATGATCACTGTGTGTCATTTCAGCCAAGGACAGCCAAGCTCATCATAGTGCTCTCTGATTAGCCTATGTGGCATTTTGGGAAACACACACACACACACACACACACACACACACAGAGAGAGAGAGAGAGAGAGAGAGAACTAAAGCTAACTAGTGAACAATGAGGAAATTGCAGCACAGAAACAGAAGATGTTGGAAGTGAAATCCGACTCAAACATCAGCGGAGTGATAGAGGAAAGAACTGACCATGGGTCCACTGACATCACTACCTTAGCAAAGCCTAGATACCCATTTGGCTTAATCCAGGAAAGTGACTGTGATGGAGATGTCCCAGCAGAAGTGATACTAGCAAAGAAGTACACATTAAGGTAGATCTTGGTGATATTTCACAACATGGGAAGCGCTAAGTCTAACGCTTCTACGCTGACCCCAAGTCAGGAAGGAGTATGACAAATAAGTAAGGCACAAAGGATGAGACCCAAGGCACTATCCAAAGTATATCTTATAATTCTGATTTACAAAGAAAACTATTTCTAAAGTTATAAACCCTACAAACTAAGGTCTAGTGCTGCTGCTTTTCCTTTCTCATTTATGACGGTAAATGCTATAGATGTTAAATGTTAAAGTCTTAATGTGTTCACAAAAGCTGCTCAAGGCACTCATGTCTCTCCGCTGTCTTTAGGATGGCTGTGTGATTCCAGCACACAGTTATTTTTACCTTCCACGCTGTGCAGGGCCAGGGCTGTCTGTCAATGCAGTCAAGACACTCGCTTTCCTACTTTTTCTCTCTATCCCTGCCTGCCCTCTGCTGGAAGTGCCAGACATCAGCAAAACTATCCAGAGACTCAACACACATAAGGTGTGATTGTCCCCATCCCATGCATCTGTTTCTCTTGATGCTGCCATCGTTTTCCCCTGAGTTAGTCATCACAGCCGTATCCTGCAGATGACTCTGATGCCATAACAGCCCCGTCATGTAACCCAACTCTATTAACTGAGCATGGCTCCTACTGTAGCCTCATATAAGCTTCTTATAAAGAGAATTGTGGGAATTTATTTAGTTCAGCTGCCGACAACTTCCACTGCAAAACTAAGTTTTTTTAAAGTTGTAAGTCTTACGCTAAAGGTCATCATTTTTAACTCATACCAAATTTCAGTTGAGATCCCCCCACCCCTACCCCATTTTATTTCTTTATTTGTGTGCCCTTGCTGGACAGTTCTTATAGAAACATTCCATTTTAATAGCTGTATAAAGACTTACTTCCCTTGTGACTGTTTCTGGACTATCTGAGTTCCTACATGCCGTTCTGGCCTCCTCTTCATCCCACCCCTACATCGCATCCTTCTGCTTACAGTGCCAAATAGCGTAACTATTCAAGTTAGATCCTCAGGATTTGCTTAATAAGTGATTGTTAAGCATGTGACGTAACATACTGATGTGTTTGGCACAGTGGCATTTCAGTTAACGACAGACTGTTGCAGGAATGTCGGGATAAGCACTCTGACACCAATGAGAGTGGAAGAGAGATGTCCCCAATGGGCCAAAACCAGTACATTGCCTGAAAAGCTTCTCATTTTATACTCTAAAGCCACAAGGTGGGGTTTAGAACAAGCAAGATTTTACAGAAGTGTGCATGGCAGTCAGCAGGTTGTTAAGGGCAACGGCCCATCGTTTCTGCTGTTTCTCCAGGTCATTCTGTTTCAGGTAGCAAGTGAAGTCATGTTTGGCAAATGCTTTAAATAAATCACTAACCAAATCAATAAATCAGTTTCTACTAATTGTTCTTCTCTACCTTATTCTACTTTAAGACCGTACATATGATAGTGATCCTCTGAAATGATGTTGCCTAGGAAAACCAGGTCCATCTTCCCTCATGCAAGCATCTCTACAAGCTTTGAGCAATAACAGAATGGCAATCATTCTGCCTCAGGCCCCTAAGTGCTTGAATTGCAGGTGTGAGCTACCACACCTGGCTTCCAGTTCTGTTCTTAAAGACATCTTAGAGACTAAACTGTCCTAAGTTTTCATAATGCATGACAGAATTCCCGATCTTATCTTTATAGTTGGGGATGTGAAAAGGCCTGGGTGTCATGCCTGGCACAGTGCCAGGTGCACTTGACTGCTCTTGTCAACCCCCATTGTATACGAGATGCTGTGAGGTTGCCCAGTCTCTCTTCCTGGACAGTCATGTACAGTCATGTAATGGTGTTTTAGCAAAGAGACGAGGACACAGTTGATGTAGGCGTCTATTAAGTTTGACTCACAAAAGCCACTTGAGTTTCTTTGTGTTGATGTCCTTATCACCAAATGTAGTTTGTTTGTTCATTTGTTTGTCTGTCTGGTTTTTATTTTTTTTTGCTTTTTGTTTTTTTGCTTTTTGGAGACCCACCATCCAACTCCCAAACAAATACACAGAGACTTATTCTTACTTATGAATGCCTGGCCTTAGCTTGACTTGTTTCTACCCTAGCTACTGGTCATTCAGCTCTTTATTAGACCAGTCAGGTGTTTTAGGCAGGCAAAGTAACACAGCTTCACAGAGTTAAACAAATGCAGCATTAAAGAATGCAACACATCTTTGCATCATTAAACAAATATTCCACAGTATAAAGGGAGGTAACATCTTCAACTAATGTTCTACAACAGCCCAGGGCACGGAGAGGCCCACGGTGCTGAAGAAGCCAGGGGCCAAGAAGGCACAGCTGGAAGGTGCTTGTCTGGCAAGCAGGAGGATCGGAGTTTGTGCTCTAGAACCCATGTAATAAAGGTGGTGCGTTTGTAACTGCAGCTCTGGGAAGACCTGGTTAGGGTTAGGGTTAGGGTTAGGGTTAGGGTTATCTTGCTGGTTATCTGGTTTGATTGAACCAGCCTTCTCCAGTCTCCCCAAAACAAGATGAGCAACCTTTGAAGAATGACAACCACGGTAAATCTGTCTTCTACATGCAGGAGTGAACACACACACACACACACACACACACACACACACACACACACACACACAGCCTTTATCAGTCTGGATCTTTCCTGACAGAGAATGGAATGCCCCTACTTTAGTCTCCCAAACTGGAGCCAGTTTAGATTATTTAACAAGCAAGAAAATGCATGTTTCATTGAGGTCAGACTGCTATAGCAAGGGCCAACCTTGTATATTCCCCTTTTCTTCCTTTGTCCAAACACCTACTGGAAAACCTCTGATGTAAGATTTTTACTGGGCTTGCCAATTATTGGCAGGATGTCATTCACAAGACACACTCTTTTACACAGTTGCCATTCATGAGCTTGTAAAGATGAGAGACTAACGTAGAATGCATTTATTAAAGTGTTTTGAAGTGGTATGTAGATCTCATCTGGTGTAGCAACTCCAAATCATCCTCAGTGAAGCTGGTAGTGCTGTGCTGGGAAACTGCTGAGGTGGTGTCCAGGCCCGTAGGAAAGAACACTGATTAATTACCAATAACTGCCATGGGCAGGTGAGGTAAGAACCATGGCAGGGACTCAAAAGCTACATCACCCCTGGGGCTGCAGCCAAGCCCCTGGCTGCATGCAGAAGGCTATTCCTAGAAATACGACTCAGATTTGCCATTAAGGCAGCATCCTTGCCATGGCTCTTGTTTGTAGAAATTCTATATCTTATTGGAAGATTTAATAGGCCAAGAAATAAATAAAGTTTAGATGACCTTCCCCTCCCCTTCTGCTAACTAGAGTTTGCTTGATTAGTTCAGGAGTCAGGTGTTTTTTCCCATAACTCAAAAATTCTAGTTTTTATTTTCATCACTTTGAGAGAGTATAGGTGGAGTTTTCCTGTACCGACTGCCATTTCCCAAATTACCGACATGGAGGCTTAATATTAATTGTAAATGCTTGGCCAATAGATCAGACTTGTTACTGGCTAACTC